AGTACTGCTTACTTTTCAAATCATATATTAAGTAAACTTCAATTTATATTATTAACTTAATATGATTTTTAGTTTAACAATACTGATGATAAATATTTACCATGACAACCTTAAATCTGGTACAGTTTTAAGCCCTAACAATTTGTCAATTTATTATATCCTCACAACAACTCTAGGAGTTAGATACTATTCTCTCATTTTACAAAGTGGGAAACTGAGGTACAGAGAGGTGAGACAGCTTGTCTATGGTTACATAGCTAAGAGGTGGAGGATGCAGGAACCAAATGCAGTGGGTGAATTGGCAGCACTGATAACTACTGAGCCGTAGTGCTTCCCACACAACTAGGACATGGTGGAGCCAGGGTTCAAGGCTGTGCCAGAATCCCCTGTGGATTCCACTGGTGCTCCAGCTCTCAACACTCACTTCCTTTTGGTATCTTCATTTCTTTTTTGGGAAACTTCCATTCGTATATAGTTTGAGGGGTAGTAACTGACTCTCAAAGTCAAACTTGGAGGGACTCGTCTCACACTCTTCCTGCCTAAATTCTTGACTTAGGCTGAGTACCCTGAACCTTAAGGTGGTGATCTGGAGATAGCTTGCATAGCCTGCTCAGCCCTTCAGTGCTCCCTGACTATTCTACCACCTAAGGATCTAGTGAGGCCCTAACAACATCTTTCTAATAATTTCCCTTTTGATATAAGCAACCAAAATCAGTTTTTGCTACATCCTACCAATAATCTGGGAGCTCTGGTAGCGTAGTGCCTAAGGCACTTGACTGCTAACCAGTAGGCTGGCAGTTCAAACCCACCAGCCACTCCCGGGAAGGAAGATGGGGCAATCTACTTTAGTAGTGATACTGCCTCAGAAACCCAAGGAGAGGTCGCTACGAGTCAGGTCCAACTTGACGGAACATAACAACAACAACAACCAACAATCTGGTTGATAAATCCCGAGCATTTAATTCCAGTATTGCATATGGCAGTGGAATGATATGTTCTCAACAGATAAATGAGTAGTGTGACTAGGTGATGACTTTGAACTCCCCTGACAATGAGGGCCTGACTACGTTGAGGCAGTGCCACCACCACAATGATACAAACAATCTTCATTCCCTTTTCCTTTTTTAGAATGAAATGTTTTACATATGCTAAGTATTATAATCTTCATTTCTAAGGACTTTTCCCAAATTTTGTACCCTTGGTATATTCCCAGGAGCCCTGGTGGTATAACAGTTAAGCTCTCAGCTGGGAACCAAAAGGTTGGCGGTTCAAACCAGGGCTTGGAGCTGGTTCAAAACAGTTCAGTCATGGCCAGCAGAGCATTCATGCTGCATAGCAACCAAATCTCTTCCATGTCAGATTTTGACGCAAGTAGGAAACAGGCAGGAGTGCCCCATGCAAAGACAGATTGGCACAGTAGCCACAACGTGGACTTCATCTCACTGAGGACCACCCTTGCCCTCAGTGGCCCTCTACTGTACCGCACATGATGTCCGCCTCTAGCAATTGATCCTCTCAGTGAGATTATAGAATAATAGAACAGATAAGAAAAATAGAGACAGAACCATCTCTCAGTGTGATAAGCTATCACACCAAGAAGTACCTTATGCTGTGGTTCTGTGCTCCCATAACCCCTTCTGTCTGCCTCTTTCAGGACAGTTCCCACTGTTTGCCTGTTTTCTTTTTGCCACTGTGATAGTTGGAGCTGTGTGTCAACTTGGCTGGACCACAATTCTGTGTGGCTTAAGCAGTTCTGATGTGGTTATTCCCATGATGGGATCAGATGAATATGTTTTGAGCAGCCAATCTGTTGAAAGGGAGTTTCCCTAGGGTGTGGCCTGCTTCCAGTATATTAATGGACATCCTGGGAAAAGAGACACTCTTCTGTGGATTAGGATTCTGTTGTGCTGCTTACAACTGCCTGTGAGCGAACAATCCACCATTCAGCCTGGAGATCTTGGATTCGTCATTCATTGGAGTCAACAGCCAGTATACTGCCTGCCAACCTTGAGTTCCTCAGCCCGTGCAGCTGCGTGAATCGGGAAAAGCCTCCAGCTTGACGTTTGATCCAAGAACTTTGGACTTGCCAGCTTGTATAAGTGTGTGAGCCATTTTCCTAAGATAAATTTCTCTCTCTCTGTATATATATAAGCTTTACTGGTTTTGTTTCTCTAGAGAACCCAGTCTAACACAGCCACTATTTTGTAAGGTCCCTTGAATTCTCTGTCTGCCTCTTTCAGGACAGTTCCTACTGTTTGCCTGTTTTCTCTTTGTCACTATTTTCTGAGGTGCCTCAAGTTGGAGACTTGAAGTGCCTGCAACAGTGCCTGACACAGGGTAGAGTGCAATGAAGGTCTGTATCACAAGTGAACGACGTGAGGAGAAGCACAGGTGTAAAAGCGGCACGGGGCAGCATCTGATCTCCTCTAATTTCACAAGGCGGAAGGAGGATCCAGAGCAACATTAACAGCTCAAGACTGATTTCTGTGAGGCCGAGGTCAGACATGTTGCCACCCTCCAACCTTTTTACCAATCCTGGCACCAACCATTTCCCTCCCACAGCACTTTCTGCTTCTCTGCTAGGTCTAATAATCCATTTCAATGGCCACACAGAGCTCACACACAATACTCACAATTATAGGGTTTATTAGGGAAATAACAGGTTGCAATTCAATATCAGGAGCAACTCAGGATATAGTTCTTCAATTAATATAGCCTCTTCTCAGCTGTGCCACAGGCATGCTTCTCTCTGGCCTTGGCCTCGGCCTCTCAGCCCTGTGGCTTCTTGGCCTCTGCCCTGCTCAGGCAAGTGTTACAACGCCCTTTTAGCTCTGCTGATAGGTGCCCAAAGAGACACCCCACGCTACCAGCAAGCCTGAAGGCACTCAGCTTTCTCACCCCATGGGCCAGGAAGCCCACAACTCTGACTCGTGCCAGGATCTGCTGCTGTGGTTTCTCGACTACAGTTTCTCTGTGGCTGCTTCTCATCTCAGTACAGGGAACTCAGGTCTGAGGAGGTGCTGCACTCCTGACCCTTCTTTCTTGATGGGAGTGAGATCTCCCTTTTCCACCTCTGGGATGGCTCGTTTTAAGCCTCACCCAAAACCAAACCAAACCCACTGCCGTCAAGTCAGTTCTGACTCATAGCAACACCCCCATTGGGTTTCCAAGGCAGTAAATCTTTATGGAAGTAGATTGCCCCATCTTCCTTCTTTGGAGTGACTGATGGGTTGAACTGCCAACCTTCTGGTTAGTAGTCAAATTCCTTAGACACCGCACCATCAGAGCTCCTTCATTTTAAGCCTAGCAGATGGCAAAAACGACCAATCCCCATGTCCGGGTTCCATACACCTTATTTACATGGTCCCACTCACACAAGGGTGCCATGTACCTAATTTACATTTTCCCCCATGTTTTTGAGATTGAATAAGTAACGTTAATGTATTCAAACTAATTAACAGACTTAAGAAGATCTGAACACTGCCGAGCTATACCATATCATAAATTATTTAAACATCATAAAGTTTTCTTTCTATATTCCCATATTATAAATTCTAAAAGCTGTCACATTCCCTCCCAATTTTTTTATGAAGTTGACATTCTTTTGCTAACATTACACTATGTATCAGTAGAGAATTAACGGCTCTTTTAGTAGACAGTCCTGAGAAATCTGGCTCATTCTAGGGTGGGAATAAACATGGATCTCATCCACAAAGGTGTATTTCAAATGGTTTAAAGGCAGGATTGATATTCAAAATATCAGCAACACATATAGCCAGCCCAGCATCAACCAGTCACAGCAAGTGTTCGACCACTCAGAACAGACACCACCCTTATTTACTTTATTGAGAAGCTAGCCAATCCCCTTGCTGGGCAACAAGTACCTCACATTTGCATGGTACCACCCAATCATCTGATTAGAGTCACAAAGACCATGGCTAGAAGAGCCATATTAAGTAATTCACTGCATTGCAATAGGGGCCCCATTTACTAGGAATATGGCTTCAGTCTCTGTCCTGGGCAAAATGGGGACTAGAGGGAAAGGAGTCATAAGTGTCTCTACCAGGGAAGGATTCTGATGTGCAAGGAGCTAGGGGTTGTGATAAAGGAAGAAGGAATAGGGAAGTAGGAAGAAGGCTGAGAGACAGAGAAGTTGAGATGGGAAAGGGCAGGGGAGGAATAAGAGGGCATGAGGCTGGTGACTGTTGGTCGGAGGGAATGGTCTGGAGGGAGCTGGGCAGAAGGAATTCTAAGAAGGAATTGATTCCACACAGGCAAGGCTAAGGACCTGGAAGTGGTTCTGGTCAGTCCTCACCTACACACTCCTACACCTGCGGAAATGACCAGCTATCTTGGGATTATACCTAGCCAAACAAGCCCGAACAAAACCACACACAACCCAATAGTAATGATTGATGTGAACTGGGTCTTATGCCAGGGAGGAAGTGGCCGGGCAGGGAAAGGCTCAGCTCCTACTTGTGCTTCATAATGTTCCCATTTAGCTGCTGAAGCACAGTGACTACCTGCTTTGTGCAAGGCATTGTGTGTTCGGTACAAAGATAATTTGGTGCAGATCCTGTTCCCAATGAGCTTAGGGTATACAGGAGAGTATATGATTGACACTTCCTCCCCACAGAGTCTAATGCCCATTCGCCACATGAGTTAATATATGAGAAGGGCTCAAAACTGTACCAGATTTGAAGCTGTCATAATAAATATTTATCATCAACATCCTCATGATTATCTCAAACATACTAGCAATTTTGACAATGACGCAGGACTGGACGATGTTTTGTTCTATTGTCCATAAAGTTGCCATGCATCAGAGTTAACTCTGTAGCAGTTAGCAAGAACAACATAAAGTTAAGTCCCTAGTACTGTACCTGGAACATGAGTTAATAGAAGTCTTTTTCTTTCCCTTAGGACACATACCCTCTGGACAGATCAGAGAGGGCTTTGCCTCTGCTTCAGGGCCCAGGAGCCCTCATGGTCTGCATTACCTTCTCTGAAAGTGTTCATATTCAGCCTGTCTTCTTGCTTTCACTGCTGGAAGGTCATTTGTGCCATAGGCATCCTGAAAGTTATAGCTTTCCTGTTGTCTGGTGGCTTCACATTTGCACTGGTTTTTTGGGAACAGCCTAATACACAAAGAAGAGGACTGTTAACACGGATTGGGTGGGCAGGCTGGCGGATAAGAGGGAACCTGGGGCCTAACCCTAAGTTTGTTTACATTGAGAACCTCTTTTCCCACACCCAGGCTATACTGATGGGGTTGAGACCCTGAAAAGCCAGCAGTGGTCCTTTCCAGAGTCACAGGGAGGCTTGAGATTAGAGGTAGGGAAGGGGATAGAGGTAGAAGATGGAGAGGTTGAATTATCCCTCACACTTCCTTAAATCTGATTGCTCATATGAATATCAGTGGCATCTCTGCCCCACCAGAGGGGTCAGAGAGGCAGACATTTTCCTGTAGTTTTGGTCAAATACACCCTCCAGAGTTTGAAGGGATTTCACTGGATGCTACTACAGAACCAGGTCTTTTCTGGTCCTCACAGTTTGGAATCACTCTAGCAAGCAGCACTGGTTCAAGATGGGAGGGAATCAACTATAATGGGCACAGTAGGACATAGTAAACCTTAGGAGCAACACAGATGATATCAGGCCAAGGCGGAAGCAGATGGAAGGGAGAGGACACTCAATATCTCACCAGATTCCGTCATAGGTAAAGAGGTCTTTGATACGCTCCTCAGGTAAGAGCTTCAGCATCTGTGCTATTGGAACTGCATGGGAGGGCTCCCGTGTGAGGCTAATGAACTCTGCATGAAGGAACATACTTCCAAAGAGAAATAAAATAATTCCAAGTCCAATGATAAAGAGGAATCTCTTGAGGAACCACAGAAATCTAGAGCAGTGGGAGACAAAAGAACAACTTACCTTAAGATCTTTTTTCTTGATTAGGTCAAATGACTTCATTTAATTATGTAATATATATAGGAATAGTAACTTGAGGGAAAATCTAAGTTAAACCTCTATCTTATACTATCTACCAATATAAACTTCTGGTAAATAGAAGAGTGAAATGTAAAGAATTAAGTTGTAATCAAGGGACTCAGAAAAACCAAAAGTAAAAGGATAGACTAAAATATCCCAAGAAAAGGAAAAAGTAAAAAAAAAAAGAGAAAGGTTCACAATATTAATGTCAATATAGTTCAAGGCAAGGCAAAAATAAATAAATATCAAATAGGACAAAAGGAGCACTTTGTCATGATCAAATACATGAGCCACAGAACAAGTATGCAAAACCCTAACCCAACCTACTGCCATGGAGTCAATTCTGACTCATAGTAACCCCCACTGGGTTTCCAAGGCTGTAAATCTTTACAGAAGTAGATTGTCTCATCTTCCTCCTGTGGAGCAGCTGGTGCGTTTGAACCACCTAGCTTTTGGTTAGCAGCCCAATGCCTTAACTACAGCACTACCAGAGCTTCTTACAAAATAGTCATAGTTACCATAAGTTTTATTCACTAAATAAAAGTATTAAAGTGTCCAAAGCAAAAAACTAGAAGGCAGTGAAAGGAGAAAGGACTAGAGATACAACAGTACTAAGAGATTCTAATAGGCCTCTTTCGGTCCTTGACAGATCTAGTCTCAAAATCATACAAAGCAGTAGGGCAACTAAATAATGTAATTCATATCTGTTAAAGACCTCAAGAATACTTACAAAAAACAGTCCAGGACTATCTCTACTATATATTTTTTACAACAATAGTAAAGAAAAGAGCATAGTAACAATGCAAGTAGGAAGCAGTGAATTAGGGGAAAAAAGAGAAAATGGAATAATTGATAAATCTAAGAGTTAACCAGGAGCTCTGGTAGCACACACAGTGGCTGAGGCACTTGACTGCTAACCAGAAGGCTGGCGGTTCAAACCCACCAGCCACTCCTCGGAAGGAAGGTTGGGCAATCTACTTCCGTAGTGATACTGCCTCGGAAACCCAAGGAGGGGTCACTATGAGTCGGGTCCAACTCGACGGCACATAACAACAACAAGAGTTAACCAAATAGACAATTTTTGTCACTGAATTGACAACTTGTGTTATTATTTGCCTGTTCTATAATCTCCCCTCTCTGAAAATTTTCTTCCTGACCACACAGAGGTGGCACCAAGTAGCCTAGTTTGTATTACATGAAACTCCCTGGCCGTAGTTGATTGGATCAATGGTGAACATAATGTCCAAGCTGGACCAATCAGTCAGAATTTCTTTCCCAGGAATTGGGAATCAGAGATAGCAATCAGTTATCAGATATTTATCAGTTACCTCAGTCCTCTAAGGGGTAGAACAGAAGGGGGAGAGATACACAAAAAGAAGCCTAGATCTTGAATATTTGGATGAAAAGGATAATATTCTAGTAAAATACAAATGACCTAAACAGACCCATAGAAGTGGAAAAACTGAGGCCATGTACTACCTCTTCCAAAAATCCCAAATCCATATATGTTACAAGTAAAACAATTCCAGACTAATCTATAAAAACAGCTTTCCAATGACACAGAGATAAGTACTTAGGAATAATGATATAAATATGCTAAATAAATACCAACAAATAAAAAGCAATGATACATTAAATGAACAATTTGCCATTAACAAGTAGATTTCTTTCTAGGAGTAAAAGGATGATTCACTGTTACTAATACTAAATGTATTACTAATACATTTTACCAAGTGAAAATTGAGGTCAGGGGAAAAAATATACTGATAGATAATAAAAATGCACTTAATAAAATTCAACATCTATTCTTATCTTAGGCTGGGTTCCCTAGAGAAGCAAAACCAGTGAAGCTTAGAGAGAGAGAGGGAGGGAGAAACTTATCTCCAGGAAATGGCTCATGCAGTTGTAGAGGCTGGCAAATCCCAAGTCCATTGACTAAACATCCAGCTGGAGGCTTCTCCTGACTCACGTAGCTGCAGGGGCCGATGGACTCAAGATTGGCAGGCAGTGTGGCAGATTGCTGGCTGCTGCAGGTGATGAATCCAAGATCAGGCTGTGGACTCACAGGCTGTGAAAGCAACAATCCCAAGATTGGAAGGCAACACAGCAGGCCACTGGTTCAAGCCATGGAACTGGAGATGATGATTGGCCAGGAGAAAAAAGCCAGAGACCTTTCCCAAAGTTCTTCCATATATACTGGAAGCAGGTCATACCCTGAAAACAACTCCCCTTCAACTGATTAGCTGCTGACAGCAGATTCCACTATGGAGGTGATTATATCACATCCAATCTCATCATGGGGAATAGCTACATCACAACTGTCAAATCACTCAAAATCGTGGCCCAGCCAAGTTGACTCACAACCTTAACTATAGAGTCCAGTCCTTGTCAATTTGACACCTGTACACATCTCCTTAAACTGTACATAATCTCTAAAGAAAGACAATGATAAAGTCATACTTGAACATAACATGATACAGTTAACACATTACAACTGAAAACACATTAGCCCAGTTTACATCTTATATTCAGTACAAGCACACTTATAAACACATTTAAGTCATCTATTTCATGCCTTTATGTCCTCCCATTTTAAATAACCAATTTCTAAATCACCTGTCCCTATCAAACCAGTACTCTGCGGAGACAAGCATGTTCCTTCCTCTGAAGACTCTTCTGTTCCAGTTGGAACTTTGAGAATCTGCACCCATAAGCAATG